TGTCATACGAGGAGAGGTTGAAATATCTCAAACTGTGTTCTATTGAAAAAAGAAGAGTTAGGGGGATCTGATTGAGGTGTTTAAAATTGCAAAGGGAATTGATAGTGTTGATGCATCACCTTTTTTTCATATTTAACAGTTAAAATAGTAGAACTAGGGGACACGCACAAATTTTGGCAGGGTACGAGTTGTTGTAGAGGCAGTAAATTTAAGTGACTTTCAGGAAAAGCTTGATAAGTATATGAATGAGAAGGTCTGGCTTTAAGATTTTTTTTATTTAGTTATTAATAGTTTTAGTTTAGTTTAGAGGATGGAAAAGCTGAGATGGACCAATAAGCCCCATGTTGTCCCAGAATGTTATATTATTAATATCTTGTTCGTCGTTTTTATAAATGAATTTCATTCAAATGTTGAAAGGGTTAAGTACATGTGATAATGGCATAGGTAATATCACAACATCACTTGAACAAAGAATAAACTAGAACAGGTGCTACTATAGCATGCGGTCTACAAAGATACTATTACAAATAACACTTTTAAACTAATAAAGTCCAAAATACCATTACATAAAGTTTTGGAAACAAATAAATTCCAACAGTCAAAACTAGCACAATTATAACCTAAATTGAAGATACTCTTTTGGAACACACAACTTATTAAATTATTATTATTTGCTGAACAAAAACTTTGATAGATATAAATTATTTAGCAAGAAATTATGTTTTAGGAATCATTAAGACGGTGATGATGATAGTATCAGTGTAGACCGCTCGCTATAGTAGCACCTTAGAATGTTTGTATACTTAGTCAAATACTTAATATTTAGTTAATAACAGAATATATAATTTCTTTTTCATGATAGAAAAATGCTGTCATAAATTATGAGAGATCTTAACACCACATAAGTATTATTAGTATAGCTTAGAAGTTTAATTTTGGGGTAATCTTGTGCTGAAAGAAAGACTATATATAAATATTAAGGCTTATTATTCATAAAAGTTAACACTAATTCAAACAAAGTTTTGTCCCGATTTAAATATATATGGTGCTCTTGATTGGCCTTCATTCATCACAGTGAACCTATGTTTATATAGGATTTGGATAAAATGTAACATTGATGCTTCTAAGTTATTCAACAAAAGTTATTCACCAGAGATAAAACTATCCGAGTTCACAAATTAATGGTTTCTTGAAATGTTAATGTGTAGAGACTACATCAAAATTGGTAATATACATATTATTGTCAGAAAAAATGACAAGTACTAAAAATCAAAACTGTCTGTATAAGATTTATTACTTGTATGTTCTTAAAAACA